CTATAATTCTAGCTTTTTAATAGTAATAGGAATCTACAATAACAAATTCAACATGCTGGCATTGTTTAAGTATATAGCCTATACATCCTTAACCAACTCCGTCGTCGCGATTGTTTCACGTTCACCGATGGTATAAAGCAATGCGCGTTCACTTTCGTTATTGTTTTGCAGGAAAATACTCGACGCTTTTTGCTCGCGCGTTGATAACAAATTGTTTAAACGCCGGGACCGAGAGCCTGCTGTTTTCCTGGCAGATTTATTCGCAATGCGTTCAACTATCTGTTACGCTGAAAAGTTGTTTCCCGAAACAATGGTCCGGGCGTGGTGACCGGATTATACGTGGAATATTTTTTAATTTCTTGTCCCGCTCTTCCGGTCCGCGCGGGGCGGAGTGGGGGAAAAGTCGGGCGTAAAAATTATTTCCGCGCCGCGGGCTCCCGCGGAAAAATAAAGCCGGGTCGATAACTCGTTTCCAATTAACGTCACTCGGGTCGCCGTTTATTCAGTTCTTCGATTTGCTTATCGTTTGTACAAGCAGATCATTTCAATTTCGGTCACGCGCCCGGGACACGGTCAATCGGAATCGACGTCGATTATATGTATGTATGTATGTATCTATGTACCGGTTACCCGCCGCACCGATTTAAATTCACCGCGACTATTTCGGCTCGCGGCTCTATCTCGCTGGTTATTAGATCCGCGCTTTTACCGGACTATATATCGATTTCACATTCGTCGCTTTGACAGAGGAAAAATGGGAGATCAAAGAGCCGGGGAGACAAAAAGCCGCGACTTTGAGAACACAAATTTATCCGATCTCGAAACGTCGTACAATTTGATACCCGGAGAGGACACGGTACGTTGGCCAAGGAACGAGAGTTCGCGTACAGTTTCGCGCCTCCTGCGAAAAGTTCGAGTCTCGACGGGATACCGTCTTAAGAAACGAGTCATCGTATCAGAAATTTTGATTCGCTCGTTCCCCAGGCTGGCCCCAGAGATAAATCGTTCTGGTCTAACTTTTCGATCAACGAGTCGGCCACCGGAGAACTCTCGAACGGGAACAGAGGACATTCGTCTTCGAGAAAACAGATTCCAGTAACAATTTTTACACCCTCTCTGCCTTTTATCGTAGTAATCATCTCGATTTCTTTCCGCTTTAAAATATATTTACATGTTCAAGCTCTTTTACGAATGGCAAGTCTATCGCGATTATTCAGGCGGTTAAAATTAGCGTTATCGAACCGGCACTTTACGAGACTCAGGCGACTGCGTGCGCGCAATTTGCAAACGCGATTATGATAACGACGGCTAAACCAGCAACCTGTTTGATTCCATCGAGTGGCTCCTTTTTTCTTTCTCTGCACGCCCCTGCGACCTCCTTCCCTGCCGCGTCGGCGGATATTGCGTTGACGTTACAAAAACCTTTTAGCGAACGACTTCGATATTAAAAGTGACCGATATTTGCACGTGTCCGCGGCGCGGAAAGCCGGAATTCCTGACCCGGTCTGAATCGTCCCAATACCCCAATTGTCCATTCAACGACGAATACGTATATTGCGAAATACCCGCATGCGAATCATCGTGGCGGATTCCCAACGACCGATTGAAAGACCGCATCACATATAATACATCGCGACCAAATGAATTTTCATGCCGCTGAACGGATATATAGAGAATTGTCATTCGATGTGCGAGCAAAAAATTTTCTTTCTTCCTTCTGTCGATTAATCATACCAAATTGAAGGTTCAATGGAGATATTGTTTTATCGGCTCGTCTAATTCGGTGCGCGAGTCTCCTGTAATGAATTGCTCTAACAGAAATTTGACAAAATTAAACCACTTGTCTCTTTCTATAATTTATGCTTTTATCCCCGAGGACAGAATAGTTATTTCTTATACAGGATACGTGCATATATTTTGGCGTTCTCATCGTATTACGAGCGAGGCGAAAAGAAAGAATCGCTTACAATTTGTTAGAACGAAATCATCGATCGTAGCCTGTCGGCATATTTTTGTTCCCTTGTTCGCTCCCTCTTGGTAATACTCTCGTCGTTATTAAATCATTCCGGCAGGGACGAAGCGATCCATAAAAATAAAGCTGGATGTATACGTATAGGGGATACAACGGGGCGCGGTTACGAGCACACTACATCATCATTGACAACCGTCTTGTAAAAATAAACTGTCCCGTGAGTACAGTCGCGCGGGCGCAATTCATCTCGCGACGCGACGCGTTGACGCCGGCCATCTGTCCTCTCGTCAAGTATTTTTTTTTTCACCGGACCACTATTTTTAACAATTCTACGTCCAATCTGCAATGTACCGCAATCAAAGCAATCTCGTCGAATTGATTGTGAAAAATTGCCAGCTATTGTTAATGAGTCCCATTCTTTTATTTTATGTTACCATGTTTCAGTGATAAAAATATTTGAACAGAATTTTTCAAGCTTCTTCAGATATTTGATTGTCTTTGACGGCTATGAATAGGAGTAGAAGTCTGTACTTAACAGACTAGACACGTGAATTTTCTAACATGCAACAATAGTGCAAATTATGAATTTACGCTATATAATTATATAATATATTATATATTATATATATTATATAATATGTTTAAAGATTGAAATGGTGTGCATGGCTTAAGAGCATTGCTCGGCCTGCAATTATTCATTTAATCCGTGTTTCGAGAATTCGATTACGAA